CTTGTCCCAATTTAAACATTTCCTGTCATGCACCTGTAGCATCACTTGGTAAGTGCAAATTAACTGAGGAAGTGTTTGGTTTGTTTGTTGGTTTTTTTTTTTTTTCAATTTATACAACAGTGTATGGGCTTCTGCACTGCTTTAATAACTGTTCTGTCTCATTTTTATGAGCTACAGCAGAAAAAAAAAATCTGAACTGTGCAATAAAAGCTGACAGCTTGAATGCAGCCATGAAATAGAAACATAAATATAAAAAACCCAATAGCATGAATAATTCCGCAAGGGCAGAAACAAGAAAATAATTCAACAGATGCGTGACTTTTTTTTCTTCATTGTGGATCAGTTATTCTTGTTAATTATATCACCTATTCTTCTCTTTTATTGATAATTACATGAAGCAGATGGATAACAGAATGCTCCCAGATGGTGAGAAAGCAAACAAGTTTATAAATTGTTTATTTATGAAGAAATCATTAAAAATTATTTAATTATCTATGGTTTTCTACTCCACCAATAATTACATGCACCGTAAAGGCCAGCAGCAGTTTATAAGATATTTAGTATCTGTTGTAACCAACTGATTTTTAACATAACATGACTGAAATGACTGACAGATGTGCAAAACACAATAATAATCTAATCTGTTTTAACACTGTGGGAATTAAGATTTTTGAATCTTCGGATCTTCTGCCAATTGGCCCTTCAAAGCTGGTTACTGATTTAGAATACAAAAATCAGAGATTTCCTTTTGATTTGGAACAGCTGTAGAAAGCATTTGATCTAATGAGCAGACAGGAGCTTTTTCAGGTCTGTCCCCTGAAACCCTAGAGCATGGCAGATGTATGGCCTGATGCAATTTTGAGCTAATACGTGGAACCTCTGATATGCTTGCTGCAGAGGCACAGCCTGAACAGGCATCCCAAAGTCTGGGCACTTCCAGGACTAGATGCAAATAAGATCATTAGCATCTGTGCCATTCCAGAGGGCTGCAGTGGGAGACAGGGGAGTTTAATGCCTCCCCCTCTATGCCTTCTCAGTCAATCCTTGCCCAATTTATCCAAATCTCTTCAGCAGAGCAACGGGAGGCAGAGTTTTGTAGGAACAGACAAAATCAGCAGCAAAATGTAACTGCCATCTCAAGGAGTGGAGTAAAAACATATTCTGTCATTATGACTGTTACAGGAAGATATTGCTATATCCATGAGAATTTGCAGCCCTTTAGGAAATGGAGAGCTGCTTGGGAAGGGAGAGGTCTTCGAAAACACCGATGAAGCAGCACAGAGTTGTGGTTTACGAGAGAGAGAGTGAAAAAACTTGTGGTTGCCTTAAAACCTATGCAAAGCTTTAATAAAATGGCCAGGCAACAGAGAGGAGGAACAGGTAGAGTTCCTAAACTCTGCACTTCTTTGGAGTCATAGTCACTTTAACAATAAGCAGAGAGACAACACAAACCAAAAGTCTGGCTCAAACTAGAAACAATATTGAACCCAGGGAAATATCACAAGGACACAGAGAGAACAGGGTTGCAGGAAAACTGCAGTTAAATAGACATTCAGGTAACAGTAAGTATGTTATTATATGATAAATGTCCAGATTTTGAGGCTAAATCTCTCTACCTTACATTTAGCTCTCCCAGAGAGACTACAGGAAACAGGACCTATGCTTTCTCAGACACCACAAAACAAGCTCATGCTGCCTGCTAGAAGCAGGAGCAAGCAGGCTAGGAACCGATGGCAGAGCGGCGCATGGCATTTCCCCCCTTTTCATTTTACCAGACACTGCAGTAGAACAGAGAGATTTGACAGAGGAACAATGAGAACAAGTTACCACAGACTTAATTTCTGGTGCTCATCTGTCTCCAACAACCGATCCAGACCTGCAGGAAAACCACCTCTCCAGCACAGCCAAGATCCATCTGGACTGGCAACGCATGGGAATTAGCTGAGGGCAAAGCATTTCTGATTTAGATTGCTGCTTTCACTTCTGGCTTTGGAGGGAGGAAACGGGAAAGTTGTGAGTCCTGGTTGAGTTATCTGTACTGGGTCAATATTTACGAGCGAATCTCTTCATGCTCACAAGCAGGCTGGAACATATTAAAGAGATACACAAACCGATGGAGCCCCAGGGCTCCCAATGTGCCACTAATGGCCTACGGAGATACATATGCACAAATCAAGAGCTGTGCTTAGACACTGAGTAGCTGAGCTGCTGAGCCCCAAGCTGTTACCAGTGAAAAATAAATTTTGCAGCAAGAAAAGGAGAGAGAGAGATCGCAAAAAAAGACTGAAACAAGAGGAAGGCAGCTGAAAAAGGAGTAGATGAGAGGCAGAAGTTGATAGCTAGATATCAAAGGGCATTTTGTGGGTATCAAAGCAAGAATTTCATTACAATTATCTCCATCATAAGCAACAGACACTCGAGCAATTAATTAGGACAGGCAGTCAAATGAAAATTTTACATTTCTGAAATTGACTTGCATTTACAATCTTTGTATTTTTGTGTGAAAAAAATCCTGCCATCACTGCAGAGCTATTTAAAATGAGAATTAAAATGATAACCCATCCTCCAGCTTTCAGGAACAAAGCGGGCATGGGTTAATGTCAGAACAAAGTGCTTTCTAATACTAGAAGGCAAAGCCCCCTCAGCTAAAGCAAGCTTGGTGAGCTAAAATAGAGAAGTGCGATAAAGAACTGAGGAGCAGTCTCAACTACTTAGAATCTCTGCTTGGCCAAAGCTTTTAAGATCCTGCAAGATTCTGCCCCTATCTTGTTTAAAACCACTGTAACAAAGATGGTAGCAGACATTTTCTCCTTACTGCTAACCACGGGCTTGCCTCAGACAACTTCCCACTAATTCCTACTCGGGCTTCTTTGCCTTTCACTTTTCTCCCTCTCTTCGCCACGCTTTCCTTACGACATAGTTTTTCCATTTCCTGTTTACCTCACTTCCCAGCCTTCTAGCAGCTTCTACAGCCAAAATCTGTCTCACCTTGTCTCATGGCATTTAAGGTTGCAATTCTCAGCCTTTCCCTTTTGCAGAGTTATCACATTTAACCCCTTGGTGGGATATTTTGCTCTTTGCAACACAGATTGTATCTTTCCATTTACAGAGTGTCTGAGCAGGCCTTTTGATCACTACAAAAAGGCAGAAGTATGATTTTGTGCCTACTGAAATTTTATTATACTTTTTTATAAAAGACACCTCATTTTATTTGCAACTTAGCTGCAGGATTTTGCATAGAAGTGCAAGATTATCGATGGGGATTAATCTTCCTTTCTGAAGCATTAGAGAAGGGGCAAATGCCTTATGCCTGGCTACTACCACAGCTAACGAAACATCCAAGATCTAAAACCACACCAGCTTCTTACTTTCATAAGCACACTCAGTACCCTATGGTAGGTTATCTCTTAAGCTATAAAGATTTCCCAACATATGGTGGCCAAAGATCATTTCATTCACTCAGTAGAAGAGTCAATTTAGCTTTATATGGTTTCAAATTCTTGGTATTTCAGAAAACTGCAGGCAGCAGTAGCGGACTACCGTTATCCTCAAGTTACCACCTAGGGATCAGCCCCAGATGTCAGTTTTGATAGAACACAGTCTGTCAAAAATCTATAATTAATGCCAGCGCATATGCATGGATACTCATACAATGGCTAGACTTCATTTATTTTCAGGAAAACTTTGTTAATGGAAATCTTGCATACAGAAATTCATTAAACTTTGGAGATTTCAAACAACTACTTCACTACCTGCAACTCTCAGAAATCCCCAGGAAGAACTTGGGAACAGAGCAGACAGCAGATTTGCAAATCTCTCAAACACAGGAAGTCTGTGATTTTCCAGCTCCAAGAAAAATGAATCCTAGAATAGCAAGTTGGAAGGGACCTCAATGACCATCTAGTCCAACCTTTAATGCTAAGATGAGCTCTTCTAGTAAGAGAACAGCAGTTTATCTTAAAGATAAAAGAGTAAGTAGTTTAAAGAAAAGCATCAGATAGCTTATTCTGCAGAGAAGAGAAGGCAAGGATGCGCATGTTGAGGGAAGACTGTTCAACAAAGCCAAACTCAGACCAATGGCCTCAGCCATGTTCTGGATTTTGCTTTGCCAACTGCTGCTTAATTAAGAGTTTTGGATGCCAAAAATTACTAACTAACTGTGAAAAGGACAGCACTAAAAATATTATATGGGAGCCCATCTCAGCCAACTGGAAGTTAGTAGACAGACATAAAGCTCCCTAATTATGTTTCTTTAGGAAATTACAGCTATCTACTGAGAGTATCCATCACTAATGATGTTTTTCCTAATATTTCAGCTTTGCTAGTTACTCTTGTGAGGAACCATCTTCACACCAAATTTTAGTTACTTAAAAATGTAAGACAGAGCAGGGTATGAGCTATTTAACAAATGAAATTTTAAGAGACTTTCCATTTACAACCTCCATATTGCATGAGTGCTACACAAGTAAGAATTGTTTAGTAGTGAAAAATTTTCCTGTGCTGTTAAATCATTCCTGATATTTCAAAGTGTTCTTAGAGAGTATCTTGTGCATGGAAGAAACCTGACTTGGGGACTGAAAAAATAAAATTTACTTAAGCCATTTCTACAGAAATAGGCAGAAGCATGACACTGTCTTTTTTCCACTTGCAGAACATAATACCTAAAACTTACCAGGAAGAAGGGCTGAACAGTAAGTCAGAGCATTTAAAACATGCTAGGAGTTCAAGAGTAACGTCATGAAAAGATACTGTTAAAATGTAAGCACTTAGTATGTAAGTGTTACAGTTCAGTGATTGCTGTTTGTAACGCGTTTGAAATTCAAGCTTAGAAGAAGCAACGGTCGTGCAGAGGCAGAGCTGGGATTGTAAGGGTATGGACACTATGTTCAATGTAATTAAGAAGCAACCTATCAACACTAAGATGGTAATGCCATCCCATCTGCCAAACCCTGCATTAGCTGGCACTATGCCTCTTGCCTGCTGCTGCTTCTGTTACCCACCTGATCCTTGGAGACCTGCTCTGATGGAGCGTTTATGCCAAGCTCTTCCAGAGGATAGACAATCTGTCGTCTTGGTCGCACGGGAACCATGTAATGAAGGGCAGATGTCAGGGAATGGGCACAGGGATTCTGAAACTGAAAGACAGCGATCTATATTTCAGCAGAGAGAATGTCAGAACAGTGCATCACAGATGTCTGTTGTACGGCTTTGCAAATACAAAATTCTTAGCTCTGTTGGCTAAATCTGAGAGAAAAATCAGCAAATAAACAAACATACTCAGAGCAGAGGAATGAATTGCAGATAATTCCTGACACTAATGAAGATAATTATGAGAGTAATTACATTACTATCTCTGTGGGAATGACAGATAAACAAGTGGTTTGGTTTATGGGATTTTTCAGCACAAGTATTTTCCCCAGGAGGATATTTTTCTCCATAGTGATCATGAATCAGCTTGATTTGACCTCATTAAGCTATGTTATCTGCTTACTGCTAACCTTTGCTTGTTTGGCAAAGAATGGTTATGAATTTATATAGAAATTCTATACCTACTAAAATGTCAATTTCATCGAAGTGATAAATGTTAATAAACTGGCATAAACTTGAAGTGAACAAAAACCCTAATGCGAATAGCATGGATCATTAGAAATAGCTCTGTTCCATTTATTCCAGCATGACTGGCTTTGTCATAATTTACAACACAAAATAAGAGAATTACAGGAAATAGAGCATGAATACTAACGCAAACTAAATTACTTTGAAGTACCATTCCATCCACAAACATTGAAAGAAACTTGATGATACTACGGTGAGAACTGAGTAAAATATCACATTTACCACTTATTAGAAAGCAATGATAAACTAGAGTAACTTAAAGGAACTCTGTAGCCTGGAAATACACCAAACTGGAATCATTAGTAAGATTTAACCTTTCTCTTCCATCTACTGCCATTAAACTGCATTTTTGTAAGTGCCTCTTAAGAATCTGAGAGCCTAATGCTACACCAGGACATTGGTTCCTCAAGAGAGCACTTAATAGAACTCCAGAAAAGTGCACAGGAAAAAGACATCCTTCTGAAAATGTACCTATGTCTAACCTGTCAAAACTCCTACGTTAACAATGGTGGTGATTTCAAAAACACCCAAGTCATTGAGGACAGAATTAATCTCGGTCACCATCTAAAACCTGGGTGCTCACTTTAGCTTGCCATGCAGACACCCCCCAGAGTCAGAGACGAGCACCTCCGGAGGGCAATTCTTTCCATCCTAAGATAGGTAGTTATGATCGATGGGCAAACTGCCCTCCAGATGCACTCTGTTTTCTCCATTCACACTGGTGGGAGCCAAGGCTGGGCCAGATAGTAAGCTTTAGATGGCTACACGTCAATGAGCTGACATGTTTGAAAATACTACCTTGTGTTCCCTTTTCTGATGTGAGACCGATGACAAGACACATAACTGAATATTTTTAAAATAATCTTTTGTTTTGTTTCCACAAACTACGTTCTGCTCGGAAATGGATTTTCTCACACAGCATTAGGTTCTTATCATTCTCCTGTAGCACTTGCAGAAACACAAGTCACGTTTTCAATGACAATGAGGTGCCTAGGTCCCATGGACTTTTGATGAAACACAGTCTAGAGTACCTAAGGCACTTTTGAAGAGTTCTTATAAACCACCTGGGTGTGTTCTTAATATTATCCCCTTGCATTTACTCATGCTATGCTATCCCCCGTGACATCATTCCTTTTTTCTTCCCTGCCCTCCAGTTCATCCTGAGTGTAAACAAATACTGGCACCTCTCAAAATTCATTATGCTGCTGAGTGTACAATTTGATCAGGTTCTGTTATTAAACTAAGCAGGAAATACAAATAATTGTTAAATATAAAGGTATGATATGTGCTTTACACCTTGTCATTTAAAACCTGATTGGTAACTGATTCACAAGTGACAAAGGTACAGCAGGTCTATTAGCATGTTAAAAACAATTAAATAAACCGATTATGTTCATCTCAGTTGAGTTGCGAGTTTCTTGTGTCTTTACCTATACATCCAACACAAGGGTAAGAAACGAAGACAAACCCAAACTACACCTTACAACTCAGACACAGTGTCCTAACTTAGGCAAGAGCGGGAATACTTGATGCTTGTGACTATATTCTAGAACCGATTTACTGGGAATGGACAGGAAAGGGCAGAAACTTGACTATCAGTACTACAGTGCTTTTATGGAAGGGGCTGACACAAAGCACAAGGCAACAGCAATACATGAACCAATGTGGGCAAGAAGCAGATATACTTCCCCCAGAAACAAATGAGGAGGTAGCAAACAAATTATTGCTCTACTGTGCTGCCCCAGGGCAACATACTAACGTGTGTACCTTAAGACATCTAACTACATTTAGAGAACAGTTGCCTAGGATTCTCCAAATTCAATTGGGAAACAGACATTTGCAAAGAGTGACTCAGCTCAGAAGGAGCCACCCCCTAGGAAGAGCTTCTCTGTCTTCACAGACTACATAAAGAACCAACGCCAAGCACACTTCCAGTTTCTGCTCCTCTACACACTTCCTGAAGATACTGGGCAAGTCTGGACTACCATGCACTACTGAGTGCGCTGCAGACTAACCCTACAATGCAACAGCTATGTCCACCAGTGCAAATTATGTCACACAAGAAGAAAAGAATGTACAATTTCTGCAGGTTGCAAAGAAAATTCCTGTTTACAGTCATTCACAGAAGCAAAGAGAAGGATAAAGTGAGCAAAGGTGACAATATTTAATATAAGAAATACAAATAACTGTCTCCTTACCTTGCCTTCCACATACTGGGGATAGATAGGATAGTAAAGAAAAGATTTGTGGGCCAAGCGAAGAATTTCCTTTAGAAAGTGTTTTGTATAGTGATGAAATACAGGATTCAAGACAAAGTGGTAAAGATGTCCATGTTCCTCTTGCTGGTGGTGATTAAAATTAATAAAATCTTCGATGCTGTAATGTGATTGAATATACTCAATATCCTGGAAAATAAGAATTTGGAAATCAGCAGTGATAAAACAGACACATTTACAATATTTTAGCAAATGTCAATGAGTTGCTTTCTATCAATTAAAGAACTAAATTTGAACACTGTGATTAAGTATCTCTGAGAGTTGTTCTCAATTAAAGCACATCGACCGAACATACTTTTCTTGAAAAACCTTTTTGTTGTATCAAAATCTATTCTTGCAGCTTGCCCACCTTTATTTACAGGGAATGCATATTCGAGCCTTTCACAACAATGTCTGATACAGGGTAGCAGACATTCATGGAGGTAAAAGGAAAAAAAAAAAAAAAAAAAGAACAACAAAAAACCCCTCTGTTTTGCTGTGTTCAAGACAAAGAAGCCTAGACTGTCCTGTCAGAAAACTTAAACTGAAAAAAGGGGATTCTACAGAGAAGAGCTGTGTAGGAAATGCCCTCCAACAAGTCTTCCCTGTTGAAGTGATAAGCTGAGATTTTTCCACATTTATGCACAAGAGAAATGGCTATATCCTCTTATCTCAATGCTCCTAATATAATTAAGAACTTATTTTTGAAAATAGGTGCGACTACTCTGTTTTAAAAATTGACCATAACCACTGCTGAACAATCTAAAATCTGACTTTTCAGTCATAGCAGAATGTCACAAAAATCAGACCTGAAGAACGTTTACTTTTCAAGAATAATGTGTAACATTGTCTTTTTTTTTTTTTGTACTCCATTAGAGCACATGTGTTTTATCCATTTTGAAGTTAAGCATGTGATTCATAATCACTCAGAATCTGCTGTTGGAAAAAAAAAGTTAAGAAAGCAAATCTAGAAGGACAACTACTGCTCTTTGCCGAGTGCAAAGACTTTGGAAATTAGGGGGCAAAATAGGTGATTATAAACATATTTAGAGGCAGATGGGCTTTGTGCTAAAGAATCAGAGAGGTGTAGGAGGAATACTTTCAGAATACATCAGTAGCTTCTGGCAAATAACTGAATAGGTTTTTTTTCATCTGTGTGTCAATCGGCATACACGAGAAGGGAAATAATAGCGTCTACATAGTCAGGAAAGAGGTAAAGAGTTTATAGAAGCAGTATCTTTTACAAGTACTTTCTGTGAGGTACATGTATGGTGGGGCAAACACGAAACACAGCCTGTAGTGTTGAGGGCTAAGTGTTACAGCTTTTGTACAACTTAGAACTTACCGTTTCATCTCTAATGACAGAAATGCCAACTATTTGATCCAAAACTTCTGCTATAAAAGCCTGTACTGGGATCCCATCCTGCAAGGCAAAAGCAAGATATGCACATTTCCTATTTCATTAGTCATCTTTCTTTTTAATCCTAACTGTGTATTTCACCACATGATCACAGTTAAGATACTTTCCTCCCAGTATACATTCTACACACTACCCCAATTTAACTATTCTTCCTTAACTCAAGGAATAATGTTTAAACAGTGTATACGGCTGGCTTTTTGATCATGCAGAACTTTACTGAACCAAAGTTTCAGTTAGGATCTAGCTGCTACAGGAGTGCTACAAGCTCAGCCACTAATTCAGTCCTGGGAGTTAAGTTCTGATTTCAGGAACGAATATTAATTAAAACAGATATTCACCATCAATAGTTGTATAAATTTGATTTCCCTACAGCTGCATGATTGGCAATGACAGGGCTTGTTTTTTTGTCTATGCAGTGTTTTCCATCACACAACAAAAACGCAGATGTTCCCTACTGTCTGATGGGCTTACGTCTGGCCACATTACAGGAAGGAGAAAGAGGCCTCCACCACATGACAAAACACAAGTACATGTTCATCACACAACCAGATGTGCATGCAAACAAAAGCAACAATGCAAATCAGGCTGTGGGTGGCCAAAAATGCATCCAGCCTGCTTCTGTCCCTGCATTTGAGGAGTCTCTAAAGATGACAGTAGCTAGTATAGGCCACAGGTTAGGTTAACTGTCAAGTCAGCCTGAACACAGCCTACACCGACTGTTGGTACTGAACTGAGTACCTCTATAGTGTATATACAGCATACTAGTTTAGAGTAATGTAATAAATTCTGGATGTTTTTACCAGTATTTATCCATTATTTTCTTGTAAGTATATTTGCAATAAATACTTACGGGATCCCTGCGAGCCATGGTAAATATCTTTAAGTCATTCAGGATACTTTCATTCAAGCTGAGGGTTTTAATGAGCATTTTGACACCAAGTAGGTCACTGGTGGTTACTCTTCTTACATTAAATGACCTATTAAAAAAAGGAATTGAGAGTTAATTTTTAACTCTGTGACAATTAAAGACAATTCCCACGCTTAAGACAACATGCCTTTCACAAGCACCAAACACACGTCTTTTAGAAGTTGAAATTGATTGCTATACGGCCACTGTTTCAAATGCATATATTAACTTCTTGAGTGGTAACACAAAAAGATCACGCATCGACTTAAGATAACTCAGGAATGCTGCTTTAACTGCTACTAAACAGTCTTTCTGCACCTATAGCCCAATCACACAAAGCACTAGCTATAGCCACAGGTATCACCAAATCTTCATGTGAATAAGAGCCAGCAGAGAAAGGAGGCAAAGAATCTTTTACAATCAAAGTAGAATCCTTAATTGCACACTGACACATACGGAAAAAAGAAAAAAAAAGAAAGAGAAGAAAAAAAAAATAAAACAGCAGTAACATCAATTTCTCCAACAAGAACAAATCACTAACACTTGTGTTAGGCCTCGTTTTTTCAAATAGTAATACACGAGGATAAACTTACAGGAATAAAATGCCTCTGATAAACATAAGTGCCAATTAGTAATCACACAATGGCGTCATGGCACAAAAATGTGCGCAGTATATGCAACCAGCAACAAGTTAACTACAGACAGGAATATCCTGGCACTTACCTAGTTTAGACACTTAAAAAACATCTTCCTGCCCACTAATTATGAAAAAAATTTTACTGACAGTCTATAGCAGCTGAGGAACTCTCTCACATCATCTGTTAAAGGCATCCACCCTTCCCAGTTAAGGCTCATGAAAGAAAGACGTACAGAGTGCTGTTCAAGGAACTGAATTACAACTTCATTTCCAAGAATGAAGTTTTTTCACCCACAGTTAAAAAACTTGCAATTCGTGTAGTATGATTGCCATTCCTGTTCTTGTTTTCAATTTAAACTTGTATGTGCTATTCTTCAGCCTAAGTCACAGACACATTGAGATTGATTTTGTGGAACGTGGTTTTAATTAATAGCACTAGCACCTTAAAAAAGAAACCTACCAAATACCTGATACGTTACAAGAAAGTTCACAGATCAATCTCATGATCATTTTCAACTTGGTTATCTGAGTGCTCAAAAGCATATATTTGATTACTGAATTACTAAATTACAAGCTAATTCTGAACTACTAAGTGAGTATCAGCTTAGTTTCCACATCTGTTAACACGTTTCCACAGACAGTTAATTACAAGATCAAACAAGTGATGGGGGTGTCAGTCAGCAAAACCAGCAATATAGTTCACTCTGCAACCCACGAGTGTGCTGTCTTCATGTCACTCCACTGAGCCCAGCACCTGAGTTTTTCTCCCCACCCATGTGCAAGAGAAGCCTGTTGTGCCAATAATGAACTACATTTTTAATATGATGAAAAACAGAACATGCAAAAATTGAAACCATTCTTTAAAAAAAACTAAGCAAAACCGCCAGATCCCCTGTGAGTATGAAATAGTAAGCAGGCCTGCCTCACTTCTCTTCCAGCAGTGAATTAACTCATTCTAGATGCCCAATTCCTTTGACTGCTCAGAGATCAGGATGCTATTATTATTATTACGCTTTTTAGTGAAAATTGAGGGAAAGTATCCATTAAGCATTTCAGCCTATGCCTTGTCATTTGCTATTTTTTTCTCCTTCACTGTTAAGTAGCAGACCTATACTTCCATTTGCTGCACTCTCGCTTTTTGTGTACTTAACACTTTTTCTTATTCCTTTTACAACCTTTACTAATCAGTATCTCATTTTGTACCTGTGCCTTTTCTGATTTTGCCCTTTCATGTCTTCATATCCCCATCTTCTTACCCCTGTTTTTCTTTTAATCCATTTTCTGTGACTTCCTTTTCACTCACATGCCTTTCGAAAGCCCTTAGTGCAAGTACAATATATTGATCTTTTACTTTTTCATATTTTGGTTTTATCTAAGAGTACCTGCTGTTGTGCACTGAGTTTTTTGTTCTTCAGGAACTTTCCAAAAGCTTCGTCTGGTTTCTTCCATAGCTTTTCTGATCTTGAACCTCAATGAAAGGCGATTTTTCTTTACTTGCCTGCACAGCTGCAGGGGGGTTTGGAAAATGCTACTAATGACCCTATTCTGTTTCCACGGAAGGGCTGGTATCATTTGGAATATGCACAATTTAATCAGAGCTGTAAGTTTTTTTAAAAACCTTGATAACAAGTTTAATTTTGACCAAAATCGCAAGAGGACGGACTCCTACTGGTGGATTACTGAACAGCTGTGACTGAGATTAACAGGAATTACTCCAGTGGCTTTCTCTTCAGCCAGCTGGATTCTTACATAGTACACAGAGGCCCAATTTCATCCCATGGTAAAAAGCTTCCGCACAGGTCCAGAGTAGCTGGCCAGTTCCTGCAAGAGCTATTTGTATACCACCAAAGGTGATTAAGTATGCAATTAAAACAGAAGTACTTCTCTGAAACCACGTGGTATTTAGCTACATCAAGACAAAAAAAAAAAAAAGGGAAATCTCTAACTGTGCCACAATTTAAGCTTGGCGTTTGCGCCAGTACAGCCTTGTTATACAAACAAAGCATTGGAAAACTCATGCCACGTAACAGAAGCCACAGCAAGAGAGGTTTTGTGTCCCAGTTCATCAGTATTTCAGATTACAGAAGCGTTCAGAGTTTCGCAGAAATTGAAAGGTATGAAATATGAGATAAATTATAGAAAACCAGATACTCAACGAGATTACTGCTGTATTCTGCATGTTCCAGAAATGCATTACTGCATTTCCCTTGAATTATATACCATGTTTCCAAGAATTACATCTACACCAGGCTTTCAAGCACCAATGTTACACAACCTGGCCCAAGTCAAAGCGCCAAATGCTGCATCATGTTTCTCTATTGGCCTTGGTCCCCAATGAGGTAACTTGAAGCAGCTACTTGTCCGTACCAATGTTAATCTTTGTTAAGTTAATACTGTATATGCAAATTTTAAATGAATCCTCTCACTGCACTTTGGTTTTACTTAAAGCAGACTATATACAAATGCTGGCAGTCAGAAGACTGCTTGCTTTTACATTTTTAATTAAGTTTTTTCATTTCATTAAAAATCCTGTTATTAACTACTTTATTTCATTGAAAATATAAGGCTATCTGTACATTGTCTAGTGTAGTGCTGTGTCAAGATACATCTGAGTAGGCTTAGGATTCACTCCAGCACAGGAAGCAAGACAGCTGCAGTAATGCTGCTAAAGACTAAGTTATTTAGCTCTGCTCCTAATTGCTCCAGGCACAGTTCTGTGCTATGCAGCAACACTGTTTTGGGGACTCAAGCTACCATTTTTGCAAGATGTTGTGCCACAGCATGCAGAGCACCAGCTTTGTCTGAGATAGCAAAGGAATACCCATCCGGTGCTAGGCTGAATGATGCAAGTGTATTCCACAAAAGTAGTTGAGAGTACATCATTTCTTGAATGAGGCACATGACTCACTTGAGCAATCCCGCACGGTGGAACACATAAAGCTCATGACCAAGTCTGGAAGTACAGGAAGGGACAACCCGAACAAAACTCTGGATCAGGTGGAACTCTGGTACACGATGTGGCACAAGGATGACACAGAAGTCTTTGTCCTAAAAAAGATTTGCAGACAATGAAGGGTCTCAGAGATCTCAATGAAAGCTTTACACAAAAGCTTCTCACTAGAGGGGATAGAAAGAAAACAAGCTGAAGGCAGTGTTCACAATGTACGCACACTCCAAGTATTGCTCTACCTTGATGGCTGGGCAGCACGAAGGAACTGATGAGCTTAACGTTAAGTGGGCTCACAGATACAGGTCTTTTAGCTCCCACAGTAAAGACTTATTAGTTAATATCCTCATATTCCTTAACAGTCCTTTTTTTCCACACCCCCCTCCCCCCTTTTCTTCCTCAGCAGAATAGAGTATTTCAGTTGGGAGGGACCTACAATGATCATGTAGTAAGTACAACTGCCTACTGGGAACATTTATCTCTATGCCCACAGCTTTAGGGCTAGCATTCCCTTAAAAGGTCCTTTTTTTCTACCTTACTATTCTTCCGCAGTGAACTTTCAGGACAACGTATGTCTGTCTGGGACCTTTTGCACATTTGCAGCCAAGTGAGACCATCTACTAGAGCAGCATGTCCTAAAATCCTGAACAAACAGCCAGTGGGCACGCACAGACTGACTTTGCACTGCATGCACAGTAGACTTGATGGATGCAAGTTTGTATATGCACAGTGAGTGATGTCCAGCTTGCCCCAATTTGGCCCTGCTGGCATGCATGCAGTGCACATGTGTACGAAGACACACCGTATTGGCCAGCAATGTTGTTCAGAGACCTGTGCTGTAAAGGCTGCAGAGGTGCAAAGGAATGAAGGAATCTCCATTGAATGCTCTCAGATGAAAGAGCATCCTCTGGAGATAAAACTGCATGCCACAGATAACTTTATCCATTCAAACTGTTCAAGCACTCCCTTCCACCAGAGCTTCTCCCATCTCTTTTTATTGAATATCTGTTTTAAGATAATCTCACTGCACACAGGGATGCTGGAGAACTCTGAAAATTCAGAAAGATACTCTCTGCAGCATGATACATGCTGAGATACTTCCAAGCAGCGCAGATCCAGAAGATGTTTAATCCGTTTACTCTGGCTGATTATTCTATGGCATTTTTACAGTAGAAAGATACTATTTGAATCTCAGTCCCTTTCTTCTCTTTAAGTGCAGTATGTGATTAATTTTTCTTACTACACCCAGTGATTCCATCATGACCTTTTGTTTCAAGGACTAACAGGTCCATTGTCGGATGGATAATTACTTAGAGATTTGAAATGTTTTCTGTGTTCGCTTTCTCCGGGAGCTTTCTTCGGTGATAAGCAGCATTTTTGAACATGCTGATATTTAAGGCCCAGTCTGCATCTGTGGTCAGCAGGACCTGTCTCTAAGGGATGCTACCACGCAGTAATTTGTAGCATGGATTTACAACACACTGCAGTGTGCATTGAGAGTACCTCCAAAAGTGGACTTTGTTACCTCAGATAAAGATTTATCACACAGGTCACTAGTGCGAAACAGCTATTTCACTGTAAATTCACACTCTTATTTGCCACACATTAGCTTTGCCCTAAACATACACCTTCAGTGCCACTGTTTAGGCTACAGGTAAGTACTATAGATTTCCTTAATACTGCTGTTTCCTAGGCTTTAACTCCATATCCTTTAATGTATTTTCCCTGGTTTTATTTTTAATTTAGGTACAGTCTGGATCTATACATCATTTTAAAGGAGTCTGAAATATTTGCTTTCTAAATCTGCATCTCAGGCAAGTCCCTATGAAACATAAACAAAGGACTTATGTACACAATACATAAAGTCCAAACGCAGCCAAAGAGAGGAGTCAAACTCCTCAGGATAACTCAGCCTAGGGTAACTAGCCATAGCATGCTCCTCTAAGCTACTGACTGACTCGGGCATCGTATCTAAATACTCTGGTTGACAACTGCACTACCGTTCCCCATGCACACAAACATTAAAACTTTAATTATACGTACTGGAAAAAGCTTGAAAACATAATGCAAAAAATCCAGCGATCTGCAACCAAGAGTAAACGTTGTTAAATAAAGCACGTATCAGACAGATCCTATACATTCCAATATTTAGACGCCCATAAGTGCAAGGAGCACTTATTCACAGTGCTAATCAGACAGTCCTGCTAGTTCATCATTAATCAAGTGCATATGTTGCATGCTGCACAGCAGTTGTTGACTTTAGTGCTTAAAGCACCACAAGAATAAACCTGAATGTTGGAAATAGTATCAAAACATTAGGCTCTTCACTGAAAGAAAAAACAAACAAACAAACAAACAAACAAACAAAAAAAGACTCATGTTGACTCCAGCATTTTTCAGAAGTCATTCAGGGACTGTCAGGGACAGCATTACTATATAGCAAACATTAATCAAGGTTACAAACAGTTGTTGCTATGTTCCACAATATTTTCATCCAGCACCAAGAGTTCTGTCACCATCTACTCGGTAAATCTACCTGACGTACTTTACCGGACTAACAGGAACATCAATACTTTCAAATTGTTTTTGAACATTTTACTTCTTTCCACTTCTCACCTACTGGTTTAGAGTAATTCCACTCTCTTTTCCATGGTGACAGTGACATGTGAGACATGAGAAATCTAACAAATTCTCCCTGTTTCTTCTATGTGTAAGGATATCAAAGAGCTCTAAACCCATCAAACAGACTTATGCTGAAGCTTTAAAAAACATTTTTTCCACTGCACAAAATGCATCTTTTGAAGAAATTCAATACAGATACGTATTACCTAAAGATATTGATAAAACCCCTCCTCCTTCCAGACCTGTAATTAAGTTCCTTTTAATTACTTCACCAATAATATTACTGAATGAAAAGAGAAATAATTACTAACTAAAATACCTACAATTGAATGAAAACTTAAAAAAGAAGACAGTAAATACAGATCTGGATTGAGGTATTATATATCCACCTATATAACACATAATTATGGCGAGTTAATAGAATAGCTAAATGGGGGAAAGGAAAACGCCATTGCAACATAGTTTTCTATTCTCTGGTTTCCAGTACCTTCTTGGCAGCAAGAAACACAAGAATGGAGGTACGAGATTTTTCAGGGGCTTAAAAATGTATCAAATATCTGCAGAGAAACTAGCAATTTAGTTCCTTCTCATTTCACTTTCAATGCACTAACAAGCCACATAGAAGCTCTAGATTTAAGAGATGGAAACATTTAGCAACTTTACTGGGCAATACAAATTCCTCAGTAGTAAACTTCCCTTAAGGGCTAAGATGCAATCACACCAACACTTCAACCAAACTACTATTTCTGGATCCGTGCTGTGCAGGGTCAGCACTAACTCCTTCAGGAGAAGATTCTGAGATACAGTCAGGATTACCTCCTGCCATCCTTTCAATATTCTTGCTTTTCTAACGTTTCTTTTACAAACAGGTGGATCAAGCAAATGCAAGCTAGGGAAGCACGCAGGCAAAATATCTGGAAACACCAAGATCCACAGATTCCTCAGCTCTGAGAAAAGGATCTTGCACGAATTCATCTTAGGAGAATTCTTCAGAAAGGAGTGCTATCTTCTCCACAGATACCCATCTGGGAATCCAAACTGTTCCAGAGATGTCTCCAGGGAAAAAAGAATGGGACTGCAGCATTGGACAATAAACATGGCGAAAATATCTTGAACAGAAACAACAACGGCGAATGTGAAAGACAGAATGACAGAAGGGTGCAAAAAACCTGACGGATTCCTATCCTAAGCAGGATAGTATGAGCAGAGAACTCAGCTAGTCTACAGAGATTATTTCCTGCCATAGGTATAGATCACTGCTTTGAATTGCTATTTCAGTATAATGGAGTCATTCCAGAGCAAGTCCCTCACCTCAGTACTATTTTAAAATAAAGTTCTTTTATTCTGGGATAACTACCTTGCTTGAACTTTATTTTAGACTAGATTGTCCATAAATTAACTATTCTGGAACAGACTCTGCAGTGTGATTGTTCTATCGCACACATGTTGATCAGTGTTTCTAAGTACACCACAGACTTCTAGCACCGCATTTCTCTCTCTCCCTAACGAATCCAAGCTACGTCACTTGGCAAGTATGTACCAAGGCGGCTATGTGCATGCTTTGCTTTGGTAATTTAGGATATTTGCATTTGTAGCAGATTCAGTGTTTAATCCCTTTGGGTAGGCCCCCTCCTTAATTAAGAAATAGCTTAATAAACGGAATTAGTTTTCAAGAAGTTCTGGTTTTCCTTCTTAATGAAGTGTATTCCTACATTTTCTTTAAGCTGGTAAGTTCAGAAGTTGTCAGTCACTGACGACTACTACTACAAGTAGAAAGATGTTTTTTCACATAGTACTACAGTTGTCAAACTCATCGTCTATAAAGTCCTTGCTACTGATACCTTGTGTTTCTAGAAATTACATGTATCTAACAGTGTGGAAGAGCTTGGGTGCACTTAGCCTCTTTCTGTCTACTTTTTGTAAGTATCTACATGTTTCATCTTTCTTTCTAGGATCTATAACCAAGAACAGACCTCATTTATAATCAGAAGGGGCCTATGTTCCTGAGAGGCTTTTGCTGATGTGGTTGAGTACAGGTTTGCTCTTCAAGGGTGCAGAGAAATTTGGGAAAAAATGCCTAAACCACATGTATAGATCTATTCTACTCCACCAGGATCTGTGAGTCCATGGTCAGCAACAGCAATCATTTTAGGATAAAAAACCTTTGTGTTCCCCCTACTGTAGTGGATTCCAGAAAACTGAATCAATTCTCTCAGTGATGGGAGACTGAGTGGTTAGAAGTGAGAATATTTAACTGCAGAATTAAAAACAGCTTTATTACCCCAGGAAACGAAATGATCAGTGCTGTAACATCTAGCTCTCTTCGCAGCCAGCTTTGGAATTAATGTTTCTGCAGAGGAAGAAGTGGCCTTCTTCCACAATTTCCACTAGCATTTTTCCCATAAAAATGAATTCTTAACATTTTGTCCTCACAGTCCTAGCAGAGATGGGAAGTTGCAGCTGGAAGCTGAAAACTTCACTACGTTACTGGTGAAAGCATAAGAAATGGAAAAAACGAGGTCAGAAAAAATCCAACCTAACTGCAGCAGTTGCTATCTCTTTCCGATTTGTCCTAAAAATCTAACACTGAAAATTGTTATTAAGACTGGGAAAGTGGTAACTATTCATCCATACTTACCTAGTTTCATGCTTCTCATCAATACAAAACAGACGGATACAGAAAGCATTTGAAGCTCCTCTGTACACTGGATGAAAAGCACTTTTTTCTTCAGTCTCAAGGAGCAGTGTTGCTGAGGCTTTGAAATCTTTGACATCACTTAACGGCAGTTCAGTATAGGAAACGGTAGTGGCTCCATCCTTCTGCAATAATAATTGACAAGTGATCACTTAAACATTTCAGCAAATATTTTCATTTTTTAATTAAAAGGTCTTGCATCATTCCTATCTTACAGCACTCCAAGCAGACACACAGGGACGTACTTTTTACTTGCCACATTTTGACAAACACTGAAGTTCAAAGAGGTATTTTTAATGTGGTATCTGTTTCTGAAACACTAGATAAAAATGGCCTTAAAAAATAAATACATTCTTGCTGAAGAGCAATATATTCACAAACTAGTAGCTACCATTAGAGTTCCTTTGTGAGGCAATAAAATATTTTCCAGGAATGTTTCTATATAAAAAAAGCTTTGCTTCCAAATGCGTATTGAAAATATGAGAAAGTTAAAAACACATTATGTTAAAGAAAATGGGATCAATGCAGAGAATATTGTGGAAATGGAAATGAACAAGGATGGGAAGAAAACCAGAGTAGCTTTGATACAGTACTGAGAGACAGACTAAAAGGCAGATGCCACTGTTTAAAGTTTCTCGGGATAAATTCTCTGCTGACTTATGCTGCACAAATACATTTCATAGTAAAGGTCTTGATTATCAAGTTGGGCTTCACTCAACAGAAGAGGCACAGACAGAAGGTGTGCCCTTTAACTTCTACAAATTACAGGGGAAATTTGAAGGTACATTGCTGCTTTTCAGCTTCGGTAGCTTTCCGTCAGTAGCAGATTTTTAGCTCAGTAACAGTCAAGACAAGTTCTCAGGACTTGCAGATCTTTAGAGTAAGTCAACTCTTTACCCATCTGTTACAGGAATGCTCTCTCCACCTCTGCAGCGGGGCCCAAAGCTGTGCTTCCACATGCCTGTACTGGGACGCAGACCTGCACAAACAGGCCCCCATCCTTCTTCTCCTCTCAGTCCCACTTTATTTCCACTCCTGTGCTGTCTGGCTGTTCATTTGAACCGGACAGGAAAACTCATCCAATTAGTAACTACCGCCACCCCCATCCAGATCCTAGCTAGAGCAGCTTCTGATCTATGCATAGCAGCCAATGTAAGTGTGGGCCCACGCATAGGACAGTGCAGGAGTGGAAATAATAAGCATTGCTTGTCCTAGTAGCCTCCACCTTTGCTTCCTGTTAGCTTTTAACGTTATCAGCGTTGCTGTGTGCAGCAGTATTACCTGCCCAGCTGCATCCTCATCATGAATATGTTCAAAGTTTTGAGATGAAACAGACTCTGTTTCTTGACTTGTTTGGTTGCTTTTATCTTCATCTGAGTAACGAAAAAGAATAAATGCATCAGGCTTAAAAATGCGAGCTTAACCTTCAGAATCACAGCAATAACTAGATTGTGCCAGGCTACCTCTCCTGAAAGGTTTATCTTACTCATTTTTAACAACCACAGTTAAAATGGACCCTCCTATAGTTACTTGGCTAGAACATCATATTAGTCTATTTAATTTCAAGGCAAAAAAACAGAGAACTGGTTGTAAAATAAGAATTGAACAAGACACAGTTTGGGAGAAACTCCTAACTAATGTACTTATGTAGTAAGCTTCTACCCTACCTGAAGAGAAAAATATGACTCATTAGTATATTGACTGGTATCTTAAACCCCATGCCTGTTGCTAACTTGTTTTCTGGTGATCACAAAGATAAGCAAGGGCTCTTGATTCTCAGATTAGTTCTCCCAGAACTGAAATTCAGAATAAATCCTAGTCAAGCTCAAACCAGGACACCATTACTTACTGGCACAAGCAGGGACAAGAAACAGGGATTTGACTTCCCTTCTCAGTTGCTAAACCTAACTAACTCTCTAAACCCCATTTCACTTTTTATAAAAGGTGGTTGCTCTTTCATCAGTCTTCATCAGTGTGCCCATTTCCTCTGATCTAAGAATTTCTCGCCCTACCACTTTGCTTGGATGCTGAAGTAACTGCTTCAAAGCACTCTGTCAACCATTGCAACCTTATGTGTGTGTGTGCACACAAGATCTTTTAGCCAAAA